TCTGCTTGCCTGGAGCTTTCTCCCTCGTAGACCGACAAACTCCCAATGATTACAAAATTCTTCCGAGATCACGTTTAATTACGTGATCTTCCGCGCACTTATTGTTCTTTTAACTTTGACCCGCGTTGATCCACAGGCTCTATACAGTAGAACTGTGATCGAAAACTCACGCGCGATCCTAATTGCTTCAATTATTGCACTATGGTCCGCATTTCTCATGGTTGATCCGGCTCGAAGGACCAACAATGTTGACGCGGGCACTTACGAGACGCTCGGATTAGACACTAGAAAAATCGCGACTGAATTATCGTTTAGAGAAAGGTTACTTTATTTAACTTCAATTGTATTTATTACACACCTCTAATTTTAGGTTTATTTTTGACTGATACAATTCTGGTTCGTGTAATAGTAATAAATGCGAATTCAGTGGATTGATAAGAGAGCAAAAGGCCTATTCAAAATTCTCTTCTCTCGTTATCCGAAGACTAATGATAAGGAAGGGTACATTGTGGTATTGATCGCAAGAGATCGAGTGAGATCAAAATAGGTCTTATATACCCGAATGGCTTTTGCTGGATAAGATGAGGTTGTGGCATAATTAAACGAATAAGCTCTGCAAATAACGCTCGTTGAAAACAATTTTATGAATATGTTACTGGAAAAAAAATGCAAGGATTTAAAAGGAGGACATTTTCGTGCAAAAGGAGGATGTAGAAAAATTATTGGAAAAGTAGGACATGTCCTCCTTTAGGAAACCATATGGTAACCCTACACTCACTAGAGTTGGATTGCAGGTTACGCATGTAATCATCACCTCAGGAGGGTTATTCATAAATTAAATTCTTATATAATGCTAGGAAACACCTTCAGATAAAAAAAATTTACAACCAAGTCTTGTCTAAACGATCAAACGCTTCTCCATTTCCAGTTGAAGTTCATTGAAGCTGATCCAGAACTTGGACATTCAAGCCACCCGAACAATGTTGACTGTCGAACCGGAGCATCTCTCGTTTAAACAGCATCTTGACTGACGAAGGTACGAGTTCCTTTATTATTATAGCGCAACAGCCAAAGGTGCTACTTAGAGAGGGGTTTTAAGATAAGAGAGAAACGTATTCAAAACAAACGACCTTGGCACCCTATGCCTAAGTGGTTTCTACCAACACTGTCATTTCAATCAAAATGTGCGTTGCTCGATTGGTTCTGGCTTTGACAGTTGGGTTGGCTTAAAATCAACCAGTCCGCTTCTTTCTTATCCTAGACCCTCTCTAGTGCTACGAAAAGCTTAAATCTGGGCTTAGTTATTTGTTTCAAAGGTGCGACCTTAGACATTCGTCCTTCCATTTCTTCACGTAAGAGCTAGGTTATTTACTCACCGATTTTATGCATTGCCATTGTGCACCAGTTTTAACATTGAACTTACGAGATTGGGTTTGATGGTTTTGACAATAAGCTCAAACGAAACGTCGTCATCTGAAATTTAATGTTGTTAAATTCAAATTTATTGGATTTATCTTAAACTGATGTATAGCGTCAAATTGGTATGAGGTCTGAACAAGATATAGTGGCAATCCATGTTTATAATTTTCTCCAGTAAGAATGCGATCAAACGTAGAATCGATCTTACCTCCTGATCAAAATCTGACACACTTACCCATCTTGTGATCACGGTGGATCTGATCCTATTGAACCAAGTGATAACCAGATAGTAAAGACAATACTAGTTGGCGCCAGCATCAGTGGTTTAAAAATGCTTCGCGCTAATGGCATAGTTCCCCTGCCGAAGAGCATTCCACAATGGTGTCTTGGTTAGCTTTAGTTTTGTAATACTATTTGAATTATCATTTGTCAACAGGATCTTTTGAAGCCTTAAACACTTAATTCAACCAAATTAAGCAACACCGCTTAATTGATACACTTTCATTCATACAAAAGATGGGATGGGATTATTTTTTACTTGAAAATAGTACCCTGAAATGCACAAATTTTAATTGACAACGACAAAAAAAAATGGAACTCCATTTCCTGCTCATTAAATTATTGTTCCGACCCTAGCTCTTTTCTACTAAATACAGTTTCACTCAAACTATCTACTTTCTATCCTTTGTTTCAAGAATAAAGGAGCACATATGTGAGAGGCCCCGTTAAAAGTACTGAACAAAGTATCCAGTACCCTTAAACTCCCGCCACAAACCCTGCCAATCACATATGTGCTCCTGTTCTAGCTCCTAACTGATTAAAAATGCTTCTCAGGGTGGTATCACATTTCCCGGAGCTTAATTTTCCAAAATGGACCATTTACATGAAAGTATGAAATCATGTGCTTTCAAAACGGAAAAAGTTATGTCTTTATTCAAAATTTTGCTAATGGGAATATTGTTTTCTTTATTCAAATATCATATTAAAAAAACAACAATAAGCAAACAAAAAAGATAAAAACAAAAAATAAATAAAACAACGCAATCAACACTCAAAGAAGAAATTATTCCCATTTCAATATATTTTTTAAAGCTTTCTTATTTTTAAAATTCTTAAACGAAAATATTGCCGAAAACGTTAAACTGATCAATGGCCCAATCTCAAATTAAAATCCGGGAAATATGATACTACTCTTTCTACTAGCTAGCTACTATAAGTGAATGGTAAATTTTGAGGTAGCTAACTAACAAGCTAAAAGGAGCACATATGTGATAAGCCCCGTTAAATGTACTGAAAAGTCACCTCTATTACTAATTTCGATCGAAACTGATTTTCAGTTTCAATCAAAATCATCAAAAGGGTTGACTTTTCAGTACCTTTAAACTCCCACCACATTCCCTGCCAATCACATATGTGCTCCTGCCCTAGCTCCTATCAATCTAACTGATTTTTTTTCTACAAATATGGTACTATATCTAAACCCTATCACTACTACTCTGAAATGCAACGATCGAGCTCACGGTAGTGGTCCTTCGAACTCCATAAACAAAAAGATCTTCGATGATAGCATTCTGCCACATCGATTGGTTTGCTCGAAAGCACGGTTCCTAAACGAATTTTATTCACCAAAAAGTCCCTATCCGGTGTCAATGGGTTCCGAGGAATCTTCGTAGTAAAAATGGTAGCTCGAGGTATTCATTAGTACCCGGCTACAACACCTTTACTCGTCAGGAAACCTCGGAGAAGCTAAGAAATTTTAATGAAATTCGTTGGACCACCAGTGAGCTCGATCTGATAACAAAAAAGAATACCAAACTACTAGACGAAATTTGAAATTTCCATTAAACCGAGGGCCATGGCCGAAACCAAAAAAGTCAATCCTAAACATTTCCAGCTAAACATTCTCTTTACCAAATTTGGGTTGGGCCCACTGGAAATTTTTTCAAGCAGCACAGTAGGCTGCTTTGAAACTGTCAAATTTTGATCATCCTCGGTTTGCATGCCTGTATTTTCTCGCAGGGTACAGTGCTCCCAAAATCCAGCATACACAAAATTCAACTGAGTACGCTGCAGTTTGGGAGAAGTAGTTTGCGTATAAACGTTAGCAGTGTCCGCTACATACGTCACACGCTCCAAAAGTTCATGGTGTGTCTTGGCGTATGCTTCAAACACTGCTACCGTTGTCGTACATTGCTGTACCCTGGCTATTCCTGCTGTCAGAACCGAATCTACATCGGCTCTGTTGCACCTAAATTCCTCACAAAAATTTAGTTTCTTTTCTTCCACCTTATCTCCTAATTCATCATTTATTTCTAACCCTACTCTCTCACAATTATCACCTAAATCTTCCTTAACATTATCCGCGATTGAGGCATTCTGGGTAATTCCGCTCCTCTCAAATCCCTCACCAATCATTAGTTTCCTAGTAGATGCTAAAAACGGCCCCCGGATATACTCACCGACCGATGACCTTACATTGTCATACTCATCGGTTACCGGTAAGTTTTTAAGCATTTCCCAGCGATCCTGCCTTTTTGGCAGCTTCGGCTTTGAAGAAGCCGCTTTTATACGCTGGTAAATGGCCGTTAGCTTACCATCCGGGTCGGCACGCATGAAATCCGGCAAAGACACCGGTCTAACATTCCGACTGGACCGGGTCTGCCGAGCATCGCGGCCATTTTTCATCTTACTGGGAAACATTTTTTCTTGAACCGCCTTGATTGGAGAAATTGGGAGAGCTATCAAACGTACGTCCGCTTTGAATTCACCTCAGAAGCCTCTTAACGATTTTTAGCAGCAGGCTTCCTTATATAGACTTCTGGCGTGTGAAAATTTGGTTACGAGGGTGTTGCTATGGTAGCGACTATGGAAGGGATGCGCAGTGGGTGAAAATCGTGAAAATCGGAAAATTTGATCAACGTAGGCGTGCATGTTTTCTTCTTCATAGAAATGTCAACTTTTTTCACGACGCATCATACACTGATAAAAATGTAAAGGACAATGGTGTAGGATGGTTGAGGTCTTCCTTGTACAGGTCAGGTGATTTTTTACCAGGAGTGTGCTTGCTGGTGAGTACTTATTAGAATCTACAAATCAGCCGGAATTCCTAGTGGTTAAAATGTGATGAGGATTTAGTCGTTTTAATTCCGGATGTTGCTGATCAGCTGATCTGTGCAATCCTAGTTTGTGTCCGTTTACATCCTCCAGTTTATAACAATTCGAACCTAGTTTAGGAATAATAGTGTTTGCAGGAGAATACGTGTCTGTCAGCTTTGCGTTGAAAGTTTTTGCTTTATTGGAAAGGAAATAGTTTTTCTTCAATACAGTTTCCCCACCTTAAATTCGATAGGTTCTACAGTGGATCTCAAATTATAATACTTCCCGTATTTTTCGTATGCTTTTTCGAAGATTTCCTTTTGTTCATCACTTAATTCCTTTGGTTCATTATTCACATTCTCTCCAAATTCGTTCATTCTTGATTATTTGTCTCCGGAGCTAATATAGTTCCTTCCATAATTGACAAAAATAAAGCATTTTCTGTAGGTTCTCATCCTGATCTGTTTGTTTTTTTTTTCTTTTAGGTACGTTCTGATCGCTGCACCAAAGCCCGACTCACCCGTTCGGTCGGATTATTTGTTGGACAACCAAGTAGCAAAAAGGTTGAACTGTGAGCCGCTCCGGAATGCCAAAAACAAACATGGGTTGTTTGACCACACACTTTTCGAAGTGAGAGGTGACGACTCCCAGCGTTGTGTTGAACTTTTAGACCGTGGGAATGGACCCATATAGTCGATGGACACAACTTGCCATGGCATCGACGCTATTCTCGGACGACCCAATTTGAGGTGGATGTTTCGCCGTTTTGCAGTTTCTCACACATATGCGGCCAATAGTGCTTTTCCCGGATTTCCCTCATCGTTTTGTAGTACCCAAAGTGGGTTACACTGTGCTCGTCTTCGAGGATCTGAATAGGATCAGCTTTTGGCGGCATATCAACTCAAAACGAGGATCTTTTGAAGTGCAGCTGACTTGCAGAATTGACTTTGATGTTCAAGTCCACCGTAAGTACATCTACCTCATTTACTGCTCTTGATAACGCGTGTGCTAAAATATTTAATTTCCCTTTGTGTATTCTAGAACTATATCATGCTGCTGCAGTTTAAGGGCCCATCCAACAAGTCGTGCGGAGATGCCCTCGACGCTTACTTTATTTAACTATTTCAAGGATTGCGCGTCCAGTTATAAATGAGTACCCCCTACGTAATGGCGGAATTTTCCAATGGCCAAATCTACAGCCAGGCATTAGTGTCCCGTTGCAGATTACTTCCTCTGAGTTGAAGAAACATATTTGAAAAGAATGAGATTGGGCGCCTACATTCATTAGAGATGCTGTACCAGAACTGTTTCCGCTACCACTAAACAAGCGTCAGATTCTATTAAAATCTGGATTCTTCAGGATTGGTGGAGAAGTGAGTACACTTTTTTATTTCATTAAATGATTTGTCTGCCTCTTCAGGCCCAATAAGTTTAGTTTTCAACTTATTTAGTAGGTTCGTGATTAGTGTCAGGATGGTACTGTAGTTTGGTATAAATCGCTTGTTTTAACGTTGTTGGCGAGGGATAGCTAAGAATCGGTTCTAGTTTTGAACTATCTATCGATCTCTGACAAAATATATGCTAAATAGGAAATTCGTTTATGGATTTTTTAGGACTTTTCCATACTTATGGACAAGTTTGCTCTACTCAGTCGTTCCGCTACCATTTTCAATAATTTCAAGTGTTCTTCTAACGTTTCAGAGGTGACGTCATCCAGGTAAACAAAAACCTGAGCCTCATAACCCTGAATCGGGGAATAAAAATCTAAGATATATTTTTTTTTATTTACTCCTAACATTATTAATCATTTTTTGATTTGTCGTTAAGTTGCTACTTACGGATTTTATAAAGAAATGTCTCTTTTGAAGCCAGGATAGATTGGCCGATACTCAGGACCCGGGATGCAGTTAACACGAAGGGGAATTAGAAATAATCACGCGAGGATTCTATTCGTGAACAGTGTCACTGATAGTGAATTTCATTTTCGATAAATGCAAGACGAAAAATACATTAAATAACGTCAATAGTTCAAGTGTGTTTACAATATTTACAAACATTTGTAGTATATCAACTGCACCCATTACCAGTCTGTGGGCAAGAGGTGCGATAGGGTGACCGAGCGCGCGCGTTACACGGAGTATAGTAATATATGCGAATTCAGTGGATTGATAAGAGAGCAAAAGGCATATTCAAGATTCTCTTCTCTCGTTATCCGAAGGCTAATGATAAGGAAGAGTACATTCTTGGTATTGATCGCAAGTGATCGAGTGTGATCAATATAGGTCTTATATACTAAGGAGTATCCATTGCTAGGGTTTGCGTTAACATATGCTGGCCTCCGTTGAAAGGTGAAGCCTTTCAACCGACATGAAGGTGAAATGATAAAGGATGATCTGCACCGAAAATAGTTGTCATGTAGCTTCCATTGGAAACGCAAATGATTTTCTTCCATAAACAAAATTAATGGAATTCATCTGAATTTCACATAACATTTATGCGATCACGTTAATTTTATATGATTTTTCATATGAATTTCATCGGCCGCATAATATTCATGTGATTTTGTGGTGGGATTTTTAGCTATGTGATCACATGAAAGCTATGTGAAATTCACATGGTTTTCATCCATTAGATATGTGATAAATTTTTTGAGTGTGGTCGTCTTCGTTGTTGTCGATCGCTCTCCACGTCGTTTGTTTTGATTATCCTTTTGCTCGGCAAGGGTCGTTGACCTTCGCACGGTCTGATCCTTGATCAGCTGTTTCCTCTACCAGTACTCGATCGTTGGTCGTTGCTATTGATGTCATCGTCATAGTAACCGGCTTTCGATGGTCATCACTTGGTTGGGCGCACTCGTGGTTGGGGTTGGAGTCGGCATCGATGGATCGAGGGTGCATATAGGAGAACAAAAAAATCTTCAACTTTTTGAAATTTTAATGAAAAAAAATACTTACAGGGGTTAGAGGCCCGCAGGCACTGGAAAGTTGGGACTGCAGGGTGGTATGAATTTGAATTGGATCCCGTCGCCAACGCAACGATTTACCATTGCTGCTTTATTTTGTTGCGAGTAGAATTTTTTGCGCAGCTCTGCTAACTCTCGGAGGGTTCCCTTGAAGTTTTGGGCGTTGTCACAGTGGATTATGTGTGGTTTTCCTCTCCGAGACATAAAACGGTGTATTGTCGCGATGAAGGCGGCTGTCGACAGATCGTAAACCAGCTCAATGTGGATGGCTTTTGTGACAATGCAGATGAAAATTGCCCCATAGCATTTTGTTGGTTGATATTTGCGAAGATCGATTTTCCGGTATAAAGTTGTGCATGAATCGACGAAGTATCTCAGAGATTCGAAGTAGAGAACGGAATGTAGAGCGTAGACCGAATATTTCATTCGATTCGTGAACTCTGACCGGTAACGATATCGATCGTTCTTCGAGGGATTCCACTGTCAGTTCAGGCAGGCCACTTTGGAGGACTGGAGGCCAGAAACGGGATGGTTGTTGCAGCCAGGATGGTCCCGTCCACCAGGCTGACGACTCCTCTAACTGACTTGCTTCAATTCCACGAGAGATTATGTCCGCTGGATTATCCATACCCGAAACGTGAGCCCAGACACCATTGGTTGTTAGATGTTGCACTTCCGATACTCGATTCGCAACAAAAGTTTTCCACCTTGACGGAACCGAGTTGATCCAGTGGAGTGTGATCGTTGAGTCCGACCAGAAGAATGGTTGAGAGTTCAGTGCGATGCTAGAGTTCACCTTGTGGTACAAGTGGCTCAAGAGAAGAGCCGCAGACAACTTCAACCTGGGAGGACTAACCTTTTTCTGCTTCTTCGAATCTCCGAGAGGTGCCACCTTGGATTTCGTAGTCAGCAGACGAACCGAAATGCTTTCATCATTAGAAACGGTACGAACATATAGGCAGGCACTGTAAGCACGTTCCGACGCAGCGCAAAACCCATAAAGTTCTATGTTAACGGGTGCAGTAGCAAGTGCTGCCCACCGAGGTACGGGGATTGAAGAAAGTGCATTTAGACTGCAACGAAAGGAAAGCCAATGCTGCTGTTTATTTTCGTCGAGATGATCATCCCAAGACGTTCGCAGGGAGATTGAACAAAGATTTTTGCTAGAACTATCACTGGTCCAATCAGCCCAAGCGGATCGAAAAGTTTTGCTGTATCTGATAATACAGTGCGCCTGGTGATTGTGTCCGATTGAGACCACTTGGGAACGGAATAGTGAAACAAATCTGTTTATGGTTCCCATATTAGTCCAAGGGTTTTGATAGTCGATGGTGAATCCAACGCAAGGACTACTCGTTCTTCACGTAGTTTGGGTGGTATGATCGAAAGGATGCCCGTCGAGTTGGACGCACATTTGCGTAAGCTAAGCCCGGAAGATTTCTGCAGATTTCGTAACTGTTTGCACAATTTCGCAACTGTTTGCACAGTCAGCATATCGTCCATATAAAAATCCTTCGAGAGGACTAGAGCAGCATGAGGATACAGATCAGCTCCTTGCTTAGACAGCTCCAGAAGACACCTAGCAGCCAAATATGGCGCCGAGGCAGTGCCGTAGGTGACGGTGGTAAGCTCGAAGGTTTTCAGCGGTTCTGAGGAAGAGAAACGCCAGCGAATGCGATGTAGTGGACAGTCAACAGGGTGAAGAAGAAGTTGCCGGTACATTTTTTCGCAATCGGCAACCATTCGCGCCTGATTAAGCGATACTCCGCTGTCCGTCCGACAAGAGGCATCGAACACTACCCTCAATTTAGTGGTTGTGCAATCAGCTTTCTCGACGCCATGATGAGGCAGGTAGTACGACGGAAGAGTGTTGAAAGTGACTATCTAGTGGTTCTGGGCTGCACACGTGAGCCACTTTGAGTTGGTTACGGGAATGATAAATCCCTATCTTACCGGATGCTACCCAGCCAAAAACGGTATTTTGTAAAACTGGCTTTTCAGGACCCAGCTTGATGAATCCTTCTAGGACCAGTTCTAAATCTATTGGAAGATCTATTGGTCCCGGTTCATGGAAGTTGGGATCTGCTAGTGTGATTCCAGATGGAACGTTCCAGCAGGAAGAATCAACCACGTTGACAGAAAGCTCACGGGTGATCTTCTTCAGTATGTGACAGGTTCTTCGACAGTATATTTGGTGCAATGGGACCCTATCCTAACATCAGCAGCGTGATACGATACGACGAGAGTGTTGCCAATGCCTCCAATTTCTCGACGATAAGGATAGCGACTTAACTGCAGCTTCTGAACCATATTCTCGGTGACTATGCAAAGTTTCGATGCAGGATCCAACAACGCTCTGTCCCATTGGGCATCTCCATCGAAACCGAAAACCTTGACGATTGCGGTTTGCAGCAGAACAGTAGCAGGAACGGTTTGGGTGCTTTCAACGAGAGTGGTGGAAACAAGGCTAGTTGTTTGGGCAGAGGTTGAGGGTGACTGGGATTCAATCGATTCAAAATTCAACCGAGATTGCGAAGAAGACTAATTCGAGGAATTCGTTTGGTTCGAGAATGAGGAATTCGAACCAGAAACGAAAATTATATTGGGTTTTTGTTGTAATGACAAACGATCGCTAGGAGGTTGGTGTAGCATAGTATGGTTCTTCTGGTTGCAACCCCTCCAACCGCAGGACGAACAGCCCTTCAAAAGATGAGAGGAGGACAAACAATTAATGCAAAGATTCTTTTTCTTCACTTGGTCATATCATTGGGAAACGGCCAGCTTCTGGAACACGCCACACTTGAATGGTGAGTATGGAGACTTCGAACAGAACGAACAGAAACCAGGCGTCGAATTAGTAATGGTGTGGATTGTATTAACCTTCGTTGATTTCAACGGCTTTCTGCGAATCAGATGAGCGAAACTTCAAAGGTGCCAACGACTGGAGAACCATTAAATGTGTACGCAGGAAATCGATAAGCTCCCGATACTGTGGGACCTCAGTAGATTTGTGATGAGCTTCCCATTGCCTTGGGGTGAACGAATCAAGACGACAGCAGATCATGTGGGATAGAAGCACACTCCAACCATCCGTTTGGACGCCCAGTTTGTTGATTAGGCACAAATTGCGCTCAAAATCGTCGATAAGACGCATAAGGGACTCGCATCATTTCAATTGTGAAAAGTGAATCTATGTAAGTTTTAACAACTAACTTTTTGTTGTCAAACCGCTTCTCCAACAACTGCCACGGAACGGCGTGGTTTGCGTCGGTCAGCTCAATCGATTCAATAACCTTTCTGGCATCCTTGGTTAATGATGCAACATCTTATCTATCTGCGATAATTGAGTGTTTGAATTAATCAGATATTTGTATTTATCCCTAAATGTGATCCATTCCAAAATGGATCCAT